GGTAAACTTTGAGCGATCACGCTAGGTGGAAAGGCCAATAAATTATCGCCCTTTAGCGCCACCGCGTGGTTGACCTGTAGTATTACAGCTGACATTTTTTAAACTATAAAATCATAATTATCGTTTTGTCTGTACAATGTGGGCCGTACTGAGTGTAGTTATTAATACATATGCACTGTTGTTTCTTCACATTTTTATTAAAACACATATCACATTATCTCTCTATTTAAAAAAAAAACTATACATTTATCCAGCTTATTACGTTGTTTTTTTATTCCTGTGTATTATAATACGTCATGTATGTCACATTGAATTCAGCTTTTTTAATATCATTTTTTTTCTCCTGAGGCTATCTAAAAAAAAAACAGCGAATCGCCTCCATGTGAGCCTCGCTGTGAGTTCCAGTCGGATGGTTTTGTGAGCGAACAGGAAGCAAAAATTCCCCTGCGTTTAAATACCTACAAATACCAAAGTGTTTAAAAAGAGGAGACACTGGCAGCACTGGAGTGATGTCGGTGTGATGATACGTGATTAAAGCTGCTGCTGCTGCTGCTGATGGTCGGGTCGTCACGTATTGCACGTAGCGGATTGGAAATGAGGAAATAACCAGGAAGCTGACAGCAGATCACCTCCTCCTCACAGCTGCTGCTGCTGCTGCTTTCATTCACACGTAGCTACAGAGAGAAGCTGCAGTTTGTCAAGCAGAGGTCCGTGGAAACAAGAAGGGTCGTCATGAAACTGGTGGTCATCGTCCCCCTCCTCCTTCTCCTCGAGGTGTCCGGATACGCAGAGTGCAGGTGTTTCTGTCAGGTGAGTGCTGGACGCGGTTCTGACTTACTTCCTACATTGGTGGGATTATTTGACCGGGTTACAGGTAACTTGTACTGATTCATTTTACATGAGTGTCGGTTTTTATGGCTACCCTAAAATTCCAGACTGTGAGTCAATGGCCTCAAAGTCATTTTGAATGGTAGGAGGAAACAAAAAAACAACAACAACAACCAAGTCAAGTTGGTTTGATAGTACCAAGTAACTGGAGTTCACTTCTTGTGTATTGATTTCATTTTAATGAGTTTTTTACATTTGCTTAGTGTTGTTGTTGTTGTTGTTGTCGTCAGTGAAAATATCAGTAACAATACAGTTCTGTTAAAACAATTGTGGTTTGGCCTAGGCCCCTGCATTAAATGTGCATCGGCAGTAAGTAATTTCTTTATTTCTGTGTAATGTCACACTGATGTTGTTGCTTATAAATACCAAGTTTTGTAGTTGAGCACCCTGGAGGCGAGGAACCTGCCCATGTTTTGTAACAGTGAAGGTGCTATGGTCTAATTCCCCTCATATTTTGATTACTTAAGAATTTTTCTTGTGTACACATTACATTGATATTCAGATCTATACTTTATTGACCCCACAAGGAAAATGACTGTTGAATAAAAATAAATAAAAATAGTACAGTCTACTATTGAAACTCTTTACAGTGTTTTCCAATCTTACTTCGGCTTGCTCTCAGGAGCATACTACACTGTACACTGGATAACCAGCTGTTTGCCTGTTCCCTCTACATCAGGTGACAGGCGACCTGGATGACTGCACGTGTGATGTGGAGACCATCGACCGCTTCAACAATGACCAGCTGTTCCCAAAACTCCAGAGTCTTCTTGAGTCTGATTACTTTAGGTTCTACAAGGTACAACTCATGCACCACACATACGTATACGCACATCTGTGGGTGAGGTCTGTTACTCTGAATGTGTGTTTGGCTTCCATCCTCTGCAGGTGAATCTGAATAAACCGTGTCCTTTCTGGACTGCCAGCAATGAGTGTGGTCTGAGGGACTGTGCTGTGCAGCCCTGCTCTCCTGTGAGTTTAACCCTCATATAGCAGCTGTAAACAGACTTTTACGCCCCCCCATTCAACCTGCTGTTAATGTCTGATCACTGTCTGTATAACTCATAACGATAGAGCCGCGCATTGGCATTGTTTCTTGTGAACCAACCTAATTGCCTTTTGCATATCAAGATTAAATTGAGGGTGCAGCCGTTGTGTATTTAAATACCAAGTGTAAATGCAAAGACCTGTGGACTAGATTTAAATATCATTTAAAAAAAAAAACTACAAAGATTACCTATTAATTCCAGGTGAAAGAGGAGAAATGGTCACATCAGACTGACTGAAACTGTCTATTCACAGAACGAGGTGCCCGAGGGGCTCCGATCCGCTCCCCACAACAAGGTGAGTATCTCAGGATCAGTAAGTGGCACAAACTGGCTGCGACTCAGATGGTCTTTTTATTTGTGTCCCATTTATTTAATCAAATCTGACAACAGTTTACCTTCTCCATATGTAAAGTTTACTGAGGATTAATGTCACTTTGGAAATGAATCAAAACTGGAGTCATACAGTAAGTAAACACACCCTCGTGCAATTTATCACTTAAGAAATCAGAAATCAGAAATCAGAAAGGGTTTTATTGCCAAATGTTGAGCGGGTTTACAACATTAGGAAATTGCTGCGGTGCTTCAGTGCAAACATACTGTTATAATACTGTTATAAATTAAGCTTAAATAGACATGAAAATAAATGCCAGACGACTCAAATACAGTTATTAAGAGGTGATGCAGATTCTTCAGTATTAACAATGTGTGTCGAGTCAGTGCAGTCTCTTCCAGTTACAGGGGAAAAATAGTGTAGACAGCTTCTAATTGATGAGTGCATCTACTGTGATGGGTTAGAGAGGAGCTGCTGTAAAGCCTTGAACCTTTTTGCTGTCAGCATCTTGTTTTGTAAAAAGACGCAGGAATCTGTATGGAATTATTTATATGTCAAAAATCATGTGTGAGAAAAAGCATAATCTGAGCAAATAACTCTATTTCATTGCCGAGTTTTCCTTTACATTTCAGAACATCCATCTTTTATATCCCATGAAGTCTATGGAAAAAAGCGTTGCTTCTTCATTCTTTAGAGAGGGCCTGAGAGATTTCTCTCAGATTGTGAAAGGGATCGCTTGAGTCACTTGTGCAAAAAGAAAACAAGCAAAAACAAAAGAAAATCCAAAATGGCAATCCCCTCACAGCTCTCCCCCAAACTCAGCATAAAGACACGCTTTCCCATAATTATCTATTTTTTTTCTTTTTTTACTCATCCTGTTGAAGACCTGATGACCTTTAGCTGCGTTGAGCATCCGTCCATCTTTCCGTTCACCCATTAACAATTTTTACAAGAGTCACGACTGCTTCTACAGCACAATTTAATCAAACCTTTACACAGTCAACAAAAAACTGGTCTTCATTGAAACTATTGTCAAGGTTTCATTTATTTTCTTCAGAGTTTTGAGATTTAAAAAAAATTCACTGATGCAGAACGTAGTTGAACCATATTATTATTATTATTATTATTATTATTATTATTATTATTATTACCTTTAGCTTAGAGACAGATCCACACTGCTGCTCAGCTGCCAAAAACATTTTATACCATCCATTAAATCTACAAATCCTCACAGTGTGGCCATATTTCTGGATTTGTTGCTAATGTGACAGTTTTGTAAATGTAATGTACTGTACTGTAGCACATTTTGCTTTTTATAAAGACTAATTTTGTTGTTGTTGTGGGTTTTACAGGAGGATGTAATGTTTAAAATTAAAACAAACAAACAAAAAGGTCATGGGATTCTAAAAAGTTTTATTTGCTAGTGCACTAGAGCACCTTTTTGCCACAATAAAAAACGTTTCTATGTTTAATGCTCGACATGTATTATAAAAAAATGTAATAAATCACATTTTTACATCATGGCATTAAAGTGAACAGGTTTATCTGCTGTATTGTGTTAGCAGTTAGCAGTTTTGTTACTTTCACTTTCAGCTTCCTGCTGTTAATGAGTCATCACAGCAAGTTTGATAGAATATAGCTTTGCTGCCCCTCAGATTTTCTCAGTAATTCATAGAATTGTAAATTTAAAGTGTGTGTGTGTGTGTGTGTGTGTGTGTGTGTGTGTGTGTGTGTGTGTGTGTGTGTGTGTGTGTGTGTGTGTGTGTGTGTGTGTGTGTGTGTGTGTGTGTGTGTGTGTGTGTGTGTGTGTGTTTCAGTATTCAGCAGAAGTGAACGAGCAGCAGGATGAGTGTGAGAAGGCGAAGCATCTGGGAGCTGTAGATGTCTCATTAAGGTGAGTCTCGTTCATTTTGCTCAGTTCTTTCTTCTAAAAGTGACTTTTTGACATTTTTTATTCAGACTGTTCTTTTGAGTAAATTGTGCACTGCATTGGATGAAACTGTCTGGAAGGCGGTTGGGTGGTGAGCATACAAGGCATAGTTCGGGTGAAAGCTGCTTCTTTAACCTGTAGAACCATACTCGTTATCTTTGCTATTGGGAACAAAATCATTAATATATAACTCAAATTATTTTCTGGTAACACGTTCAAGCGGGATACCAAAGTAGGATTTAACTTTCTTTTCTGACCTATGAACCTCCACACTGAGGTTGAGCACAACTAAGCCAACTGAGTGCTCTCCTTTTTGTTCCCAGCGCTGAGACCAGAGAGGCTCTGCTCGACTGGAACAAATATGACGACGAAGCAGAACGCTTCTGCGTGGTTGACGGTACGTCTCAGTCCAGCTGAATGAAGGAAGAAGCAAATTTGATACATTTTGATTACCAAAAATAATTGCTAATTGACACTAGGCAGAAATATGATAGTCAAATGCTGTAGATTGTAAGGCAACATGTGTACGTCAACAACAAAGTTAAAGAATGAAAATGTTTTGGAAACATAACAGATTATTTAGCTTAGCATAACTGAAAGGGAACATAAAGAATAGATAGTATGTCTTGTTTTTGGTAAGGGGATATGATTACAAGAGACATTTTTAGGGAATGTAATGCTATGTTTAAGCAGTATTGGGACTGACTATAAAACATACTCCAAGGAGTAGTTTTAGGAAACATGATTCAAGCAATTACAACACAGAAGATGGTGCAACATGTAGAAAATGTAATGAAACATAGGGATCCATTTCTCCAAAACCTTTGTGAAATGCTAGTGGGTAACTCCTCTTTCCTGAATAAATCCCCTCCACCACCACCCTCTGCTACATTCTGTCACATGTGGCTGACAAAAAAAGATGTTTTCATTATAATGACTTGCAGCTGAATAAAGGCTCGCTCTTTTCCAGATGAAGAGTCACCAGACTCCCAGTATGTCGACTTGCTGCTGAATCCAGAACGCTTCACAGGCTACAAAGGACCAGAGGCCTGGCAGATCTGGAACAGCATCTATGAGGAGAACTGTTTCAAGTAAGCGTTCAGAGCCCACAAAATAAGTGACTGTAGTTTATACTTTAGCGTGATTCACAGTTCAAAAATAATCCCCAGTTATCTCACACTGGGACTTAGAGGTTGTTACCTCTTACTTCATCTCCTGTTTGAAATTGATTGCTTTAGCTCACTTTCAGCCAAGTTTTGAGGAGCAGGCGGATGGCTCTTCAATGCCCACAGCCATAGAGGTGTCCGCAGTGACCATGTTAGGGACATCTATATCCTCTGACATCAGAATAGTCTGAAGCCTGAGCTTTGGCTCACAGGGATGATTTGTATATAGAGTGACATCATGTTGCCATGTTTACTATCAACATCCACCACTGTGACCACCCTGTAATGAAAAGGAAACCTTTATGTGTCCTTCTCAGACCATATACTATCAAACGACCACTAAATCCCACCTCATTCCAGAGCAGCCCAGGAAGTGAAGGTAGGAATTCTTCAGTGTTATATCTCACCATTTTTCTAAAACAATTGCAGTTTTGTTTTGTTTTCTCCATTTCTGATGACACGTACTTTGTTTGCAGCGAGGACCTTCTACAGCTGGCTGGAAGGTAAGCTGATGCTACACCTTAAGATTCTCTTTTTGTCGAGTTTTCGATAAATTCTCTGCCTTTCTCTCTCAGGCCAGTGTGTGGAGAAAAGGGCTTTTTTCCGGCTTGTCTCAGGTCTGCACGCCAGCATTAACGTACACCTGAGTGCCAGATATCTGCTGGATGGTGAGGCAGAAAAAAAACAGCCCTTGTTCATTTTCTTTTTCCTTTTGTCTGAAGAGTCAAAATAACTGACACTCACTTTTATTGCCTTCTTTCCTTCAGACAGCTGGTTTCAGAAGAAGTGGGGTCACAATGTGTCGGAGTTCAGACAGCGTTTTGATTCGGAGCTGACGGTCGGCGAAGGGCCCAAGAGGCTCCGCAACCTTTACTTCCTTTACCTGATAGAGCTGCGAGCACTGGCTAAAGTTCTGCCGTTCTTCCAGCAGTCATCCTTCCAGCTGTACACGGGCAGACCCGAGGAGGACCAGAAACACAAGGAGCAGCTGCTGGACATCCTGCAGCTGGCCAGGTTGGTCTCAGACCACACCAATCATTGTTAGACTTTCCCTGAATAAAGGTATAATACAGCATGCCCTTTTTTTCTTGATACCTAGTATTCATGTTCTATAAATGAAAGATCAACCATATTGTGTTTTTTAACAGTTAATTTCACTCAAAGTGCACTAATTAGAAATGCCTGATTTGATATAGATTTACACTCAGGTTGTCAAGGTGCAGCTCGAAGATCTTGCCCTAGTTCTGCTGTGGATTTGACCCATGAAGCTGAGATCAGGGCAACTTGATGGTCAGATCAACTTCTGCAAGAGTCCTTGTACTTCTCGTGGCTGAAGTTTTCCTTGTGACTCTGGCCGTACGCTTGCCCTCGCTGTCATGCTCCAGAGTGAAATTGGCACGAGTCAAATAGCTTATTGACAACATCACTGTCAGTGTCAGTGATGTCTGTCAGTGCGCCCCAGGGCAGCTGTGGCTACAATGTAGCTTGCCATCACCAGTGTGTGAATGTGTGTGTGAATGGGTGGATGACTGAATGTAGTGTGAAGCGCTTTGGGGTCCTTAGGGACTAGAAAAGCGCTATACAAATGCAGGCCATTTACCATTTACCATCACAAAATGGATATGAATGTAAACATGTGGATGTGGATGGGTGGTGTTAGAAAGAAGTGAGCTCTGTTAGCACTCTGCACTCTGGGAAATGTAGGCAACAGATTCTGACATATGACACCTGTGGTTTTACAGCAATGCTTTTTAAAGTCCAACAGTTTAATCACAGTCCCTGCCAAGGTTAATATAGTTAGCTAAAAATAAACTGAAAACTACAACTAGATGTGAGAAAGTGTTGTAGTTCACTAATAATAAAAATAATAATAAAATAAAAACTAGACTTTTGAAAAAATTCAAACTAACTGGAGTGATTTTGAGAACTAACTAAAGTGAAATACAAATGTCATTATAACTTGCTTGATAAGTCATGGATAGGTGTGTTTATTATAAACTGTGAGTCAACTGCTTTCAAGAAGTTCAGCGTGTTTATATTATTACACCTGTACCAATATCCCCAAATCTTGCCTCTGGCATATGCCCTCCTTGCAGTTTTAGTCTTTTTAGTGATCACTGTAACTAATAAAAACTAAACAAGTTCAAACAATAAAAACTAAACCGAAAAAAGAAATTGTACTCTTGAAACTAACTGAAATTACACTAAATTAATAACAAAAAGTCCAAATGAAATAACAATAAAAGCTAAAAACAAATTAAATAATACAACACTGTACTAACTCTGGTCACTTCTTCGCACTTCACACTTCTTTCTTTATTAATCTCTGTCTTTCTTCCACAGCACGTCTTTTATCCTGTCTTCCTTTTTTTACCGCAACCGGTCACGGCAGATTATTATTATTATTATTATTAGTAGTATTAGTAGTAGTAGTAGTAGTAGTAGTAGTAGTAGTAGTAGTAGTAGTAGTAGTAGTAGTAGTATTGTATGATCGACCTTACAATATAAAGCACCTTGCAGCGACTTTTGTTGTGATTTGGCGCTGTATAAATAAAATAAAAACGGACTTCCATGCAATGTTTTGATGACGTTCATCTCCTCTTTTCTAGATCTTTCCCTTTGCACTTTGATGAGGCTTCTCTGTTTGCTGGGGATGAAAAGGAAGCAGCCAAACTGAAGGTCAGCAAGTGTTTCAAACTCTGCTGAAGTTATTGTTAAGTTATTGATATTGTGGACGTAATGCACCAACTGATTACATATTCACAGGGATGTTAATTAATATTTTCAGAATGCTCCCCACCCATATTGTTGATTGTTTGAGCTCATAAAATTCAAAATGATTTATAATTAACCTTCTGGTTTAACTGCATAAAAGCATTCAGTTGTATTCTAGCCACGCCAGTTAGAACTCTACGTGAAATTGTGCTGTAAAAACATTGATGCATCAAAAAATGCTCTAGCTGCAGAGTGAATGCAGATACAGAGATACGGGGAAGCCGATGCTTTGAAACCTTTTATCGCATTAACAAAGCTCCTGGGAGTGATCATGTGTACGCAGGGTTGCTGCAAACACACAGTAATACTGACTGGAGTTGCAGTTTTAATTTGTGTGGGTAACTTTCAAGATTTAAAAGTTTTCTGTGAATGTCAGGAGGATATCAGACTGGCCTTCCTCAACATCTCCAGGATCATGGACTGTGTTGGGTGCTTTAAGTGTCGCCTGTGGGGGAAACTGCAGGTACCTGTTATTTTCCTCTTAGTGCCTCTCGTTAGCTTGTAGCGCTTCTTTTGTAAAGATGAACTTGATTTTTTTGTTTGTTTTGATCGCTGCCTCTCTTGTGTCACAGACCCAGGGATTAGGCACAGCCTTGAAGATTTTGTTTTCAGAGCGACAGATTGAAGCTCTGCCCAAATCCAGTAACCAGCGACCCAGTTTCCAGCTCAGCCGGCAGGAGATCGTCTCCCTGTTCAATGCCTTCGGAAGGTCAGAGAGAGAGGCTGTGGACATCAAGTCATACATGTGCCATATTTAAAAAAATCTCCTTAGTTCCAGCTCACACCCACTCTGCTCCTTGGAGAGCTTTTGTTGCCTGCGCGTTAGTTTATTATTGTATCTGAAGCACTTTTAAAACCTGAAAATGATTTTTGGATATGATAAATGAGCATGCGCCATTTATTATTCAGAAGCCTTCTATGCATCTCCTTTGCGAATTCCTTCTTGAGCTGAGTGCTTGAGCTATCAGGAAATTTAGACTGATATTTGAGTTACTAAATGCTTACTTTGTGTGTAAATACAAAAGTAAGTTTAATCAATATCAAACTCCTAAGTCTGTCACTTTAGAACAAGTTTATCTCTATAATAGGAACTTACATAAGTGAGTACTGATCTTATTGGAAATTCACACTCATTTAAAACAAAAGTTAAAACAAATATGTTCAACATGAAATCAAAATAGTGCAAAACTTGCCTAAATTTTCTGTAAATTGAGGCTACAATATAATATTCGCAGAGAAACTGGGTTTAATATTAGTTAAAACATACTGGAGTATTTTTTTCATTATTTTGTACTTATTATTTTAACTGTGTCCTCCTGAATCCTGCGCAGGATTTCCACGAGCGTCAGGGAGCTGAAGAACTTCAGAGTGCTGTTAGCAGAGGAGCAGTGAGGACATCCAGAGGAGTCTGCCTTCACCTGTTGACTCCTCTCTGATGGGGCTTTATTTCAACATGTGCACTTTTGTGGTCCCAGGCCACTGACTGCCATCTTTCCTACTGTCTTAAACCTGCTGAAATGTCGACTGAAAGATCAGCTTTAATCAGCCAAGTGTTTATTTTTCCTTAAAATAATGCATTGCTTTCTTTTGAATTAAACTAAAGTCATATTTAAAAAAACAAAAAACAAAATGACACTTTGTGGCATGGTTTAATGTTCTTTCAAGTGGTATCATTTTTTTTGCTGATGGAGAAACGTGCTTGTCTATTTTCAAATGCGCTTTGATCAATGAAATCACTTCAGTTGCTGTTTGGGAGCTGACTGCTAAGAATTCTGTCTCACCTGTTCACACCTGTGTTGTTGGGATTATGCTTTGCTCCTGAGGATGGCGCTGTTTGTCAAGAAAATAGATGAGAAACGTCAAATCTAAATTGAATGCGGGCAACAAATATGCAGTATGTCGAAAGGAAAACTATACAGGAATGGACACCAACGTTTAAAATTCATTATCACACTGATTCTCGTAACAGCCATCCTCTGTTTTCAGAGTCGCAGGTTTTCAGGTGCGTGTCCAGAAGTTATAATGAAACCTGTTTCCACCTGGGAGGAAGGTTTTGTAAACCATTCAGCACAGATCCCCAAAATATTTATATGCTGTTGGTAATATTCCGATTGTACATTGTATTTGTGTATAAGTTTGGAGATTTAAAATTTAAAATGTATATATAAAAGTCATTTTATGAAAATGTAAACGGTAATAAAATTTTAAAATTATTTTTCAATGTTCTAAATTCAAAGCTGTTTTTTATTAAATAAATGTGAATATTTGTATTTGTAATTGGGCGTGGTTTGCGTTTATGTGTTCAGTGCCTTGGTCAGAGAGTGTGCGATGGATGTGTGAGAGCGCTGGAGGGCAGCATGCAGCCGCCCGCAGACAGTGAAGGGTTAACCTGTAATAGGATGAATGGATATTGTGGTGAGCAGCATCTGATTACACAGAAACGCCAGCAGGCACCGGAGGGGGGAAGACACGTCCGTACACCTACCAGCACAGACGGCGTTTGGTTCCTGCCAGGGAATACAAACGCGCTCCTTTTCCTTTTTTAATTAGCGTTATCATTATTTTTTTCCCTTTCTCTCAGCGTGCAGGCTATAACTTTACTTTTCTTTTTCTTTTTCTTTTTAACCGAGCCGAGCAGGAACCGAGCCCGCCGTTATTATGGGAGTTTGTTGAAACAGTGCTGTGGCTGGAGGAGTGTAAATGGCTGAGAGAGGTCGACGGACGACTTGAGAGACAACTTGCAAGATGTCGCACTTTGTGGAAGCCTAAAAAAAGGAGTATTTGTTTTTGTTTTTTACTGTTAGCGTGACAGGAGGTGGTGAAAGAGTAGGGGAGAGGCTGCAGCTCAAGGGGGATCTGGTGTTGGTTTGTTCCTCCGGCTCGGAGAGAAATAGGTAAGGCTCCTCACCTGCCTGCTGTCTGCACATGTTCACACCCTGAACACAGAACACTTTGCGATGGGAAAACTGCCCAATGCAAGCAACTGGAAAGAAGTGCTGCTGTTTTATTGTCTGCTTTTTGTCTTCCCAAAATGTTTCCAGGTGTATTTCATAGACTAGTTTTAGTTATTATTAATCTAGCTCTAAGTATAATCAGAAATACACCGTCTGTAATGAATATGTAAACATCCATGCAGTGACTATTAAACTTGCCATTTTTCGTATTCCCAACCAAAATGTGTAAGCTTACGCTTTAAAGCGGCACCAGGTGATTTTTGACCAGCAGGGGGCAGAAAACCCCCCAAACTCTCTACTTTACTTACGCAGCACCCCACCTGCTAAGACCATGTAGTAATTTAAATAGATTTTTAACTTTGTGCTATTATAATTCTGCCCTTTTGCTGCCCGTTGTTGTTGCTCATATTAATTAGTACCTGTAAGTGAGCCCAAAAAAACATGAATAACACACATGACCCTTCCAAGGCACAGCTTTAGCAAAGTGTTATAACAGAAATGCAGACAATGGCAGGTGTAGTTATGCAGTCTTTTTTCCCCTTTCAGTTTGTCCATTGTTAAAGTGCTTTACAACTGTGCCAGTAGTGCGCTCCTCCAGTTATACTAGGGACAAACCACAGGACTGAAGCAACAGAATTTTAGCAATGAAACAGTTAAATATATATGTTTAATGTTTTACATGAGGAAAAAAAATATGCATACAGTGGCTCAAGTCAACTTAGCATGGAGAATTTGAGTTTGGGAAACAGTTACATGGTTGTCAGATTTACTGTTCCAAAAACTTTGATTTGCATCTGTAAACATAACCTGCACTAAAAGAGTGCAGGAATCGGGTTACTAGTGCTTATCATATGTATAAGAACCTGATTTATACTTAAGTCCATGCGAGTAAAAGAAGATGATTTAGGCATTTTAAAATGTGTCAGTGATCTGCCAGCATGAGAATTAAGATTTGAAGTAACTTGTGGAGAAAGGAGCAACAAAATCATAATAAATTTTGTTGCTTTACCTTCATGACTTTAATGAAGTGTTGTTTCTGAGCCTCTGAAGAAAGTTTGGAGGCTATAGGAACCTCCCCCACCTTCAAGCTCTCTCCTGCCAAACAAGTTGAATTTCTTGGAAACAGGAGATATGTCAACAAAGACTGTTCACTCCCTCCCAGTCTGTCAGATCACTTGTTCTTACATACTCCTTGAAAAGATGACCTCCCCCCCAAAAAAGTCAAAAAGCAAAGAGTGCAGGTCAGTTTGTTGACAGTAGAAATATTTCCGTGTGGCTCTATCGTGCAGACCAGGAGGATGAATCACTTATCAAGAAAGTTGCATGAACCTGTTAGCTGATAGATGATTTCTTTTATCATTTCAGCTCTGTTTTCACAAACCCTGTTGTAGCTGCATTCATTCATGCTTGGGTTGAATTTTCTAGAAAGTGTGCTTCCATGCAGTCAAATGTGAACAGCAGGGGAAACAGGTTAATCTTCGGTCGTGTTGCCTGCAGCATGCAACAGATTGAGCTTAGACTCCCAGGGCCTACGTCCCGTTTGCAGGCTTTATGTTTCCGTGCTGAGCTGGAGGGAGCTGCCACGGAGGCTATTTTAGACCAGGATGGCCTCCGTGATGTGGTTCTGGTCTGGTTAGAAGTGAGCTGGGAGAACAGCTGTATGTGTGGGAACAAGGCTGAGTTGTCCTTTTCTTTGACTCAGTCTCTGGAACGCCATACTCTCTGTGATCTGCTTTCGTTTTTTCTGCTCTTGCCTCTCACTGCCAGAGAAGCGTCACATGGTTTGCTGTCGGTTAGACACGGAGCCTCGGGCTGCAGGCAGCAGCTGTCAGACGGTACAGGACTGCCGTCAGTGAGCGGGAAAGCGAAATGTGGCCAAAATGCATGATTGCATTTTGCACACAAATTGCTGACGGTGATGTTTGTTCTTAAAAATGACTCTTTTCATAGTAAAGGTTGCTGACCCCTCCCCGAGATGGAGAACCCCTATGCTTTCATCAAACTGTGTGGCTATTTGTTTCTACTTACAGGATGTTTTGGTTTGGATGAACACTGTTAAATAACAGTACTGGCAGCTAGATTTGACAACATACTGTTATTTTACAGTGTATCTACTGTGATCTAGCAGGTACTTCTTACTAGAGTAGGCAATTCTTACAAAAGTGAAAATTAAAATACAGTGCTGCGTAGGATACATGCACTTTTTAGGTGTTCTTGCTATAATCTTTGTAATCAGTGCATAACTTTAAAACCTATTAAAGTGAGAACTGTATCCTCTCAGTTGGCATTTTCCGTTTTCTGTAGGTTTTCATGTCTTTCTTGAACCATAATACAAAAACAAGGTTCCTCGCTGTTAATATTTTTCATCAAAATTACCAACATTTACAGCTGAACTCACCTGAACTCACAAGGAATATTACAGTTGTACAGATAATTGTGTATGTGCATGATTCCCGTAAATCTGGAAAGTTAGGTTAATGGGTAGAACCACAACAGACACATTGATGGGGCAAGATTATCGATTAAAGATAAGAAATGACGATTTCCCGGTTTCATCACAGTATTGACCCAATCGATATTCTAATGATGGATTTGATTCATTTTTAGTCTAGTTGGCAGTGAGGATCTTAGATTTTTTTTTTCACCTCTTCAGTCTGATTTGTGCTATTGTATTCTGAGTAATTACTGAAGTTATTCAAATATTATATCTGGAGAGACGTGGCCATAAAGTATCGTTTGACTGGTTGGTGGAAGCAGAAAATGATTCACCATCACTGGAAGTTATGCTTGATCTGCCCTCACACTACTATCCCACCTCTCATTAGTGAATTATTTGAAGCTGTGCTCATAATTAATCAGCTGTATTCATTGTTTGTGCTTTTAGTGGTGAGGATGGGGCTCTCAGCTCTGACTCTTAAAGCATTTGTCATCAGAAGTGAAACTTGGTCACATATCTAGTTATACTGGGAAGCACCCAAAAAGAGCCACTGTTTTGTGTTTTTTATGAATGGGTTCACAAACTGTGGCAGCTGATGAGAATCCGACACAAAGGTTTAATCTTCTGTGCCAGCGATCTTCAGCTGTGGCTAAATGTGGATTTAGATTTATCTGCTGATTATTAAAAGAACAGAGCGGTTTAGAGAGTAACTGCATGTCAGTCGCTGCAACCATCTGTCGATGTGATAACCAACTTTTTGTATCACAAATGTCACAACAACTGAGATTAAATGTCCTGAGTTACTAAACAAAACAGAGCTAGTCCTGCTTGTTTGGATAATTAGACTTCTTTGCTTTCTGATTGCTTGCTGCTGTCGAAAAATCTTCTACAAAAGAGCCTTGTGTTAGGCTGGTATGTTTTTTTTTTCTCCTTAAAGTAGTAATTAATGTTACCAACTAACCACAGGGTTATAAATTTTTTTTTTTAAAGGCTTTCAAGTCTCTATAAGGTGGAAAAACCTTTTTTTAAAAGTTGAAATTTACAGTGTATGTCTGAACAAAGCAAAATCGCTGGTGTGGTCTTTTAACAACTTGCCACTCTGCTGCTAACTTGGTACTCTGGCAGAGGTATGAGTTAACTGCTCTGGCCTCCCTTTACAGGGGCTGCTGCTCTCTACCTGCTTCATTAACCCTCAACTACACACTCTGTGTGGTATTTCACTGTGACTCCCAGAATGTGCTACCCTCCAGCCAGCACCGGGCCGATATAACAGGCAGCTTGCCTAGCTAACTAACTGCTTGCTGCTTTGCTAACAAACCCCTCTCTCTTTGTCTCTGTGTGTGTTCTCCCTTTGCTGTTGCTTCTGCCCCAGTGGGATCTTCCTGCCCCTCTGTGTTTCTCAGACCTGCGGAGACGGAGGCCGTCTTCTGTTTGGACATCTGTCCATCTCTTTTTTTCGTCTCTCATAAGGTAAGTTTTGCTGTCGCTCTGGGCTCCGTATGGGAACAGTGTGTGGTTTGTGTGCTGGATATACACTATTCATAATCATGCCCATTGTGCCCCTGTAACATTTAACATGCTGCGCTTGCTCTCTGTCTCATCTGTCAGTAGCTTCCACCCGACTCCTACACATAATCCACTCAGTTTGTTGATGGTATCTGCTTGCAGCCCTGCAAAGCTCCACAATATCTCTTTAAGTCTGAAGACATTAGAAACGCATCAGCTCAATGAGTGAAGACAAAAAAATTAAACTACACATTTAAAAGTTGCGTAAGAGTCAACCACCTCTCGTCCCACCTTTCTTTAAATGATTCCTATTTTGTGGAGATGCCTCTTTAGTGTTGCCACATGCAAACTTAAGCTATTCTTTGCTGGAGTCATGGGTGTGCTGGTATAGCAGAAGTTGTTAAGTTGTTTAGCAGTCTGACAGCCTGACAGAGAAATACGCTGAACACTTCCCGCGTTCACCGTCCAAACGTTAGTGACAACCATGGCCGCTTGTTTCCTTCATGTTTAGAGGCTTTGTGCTAAACTGTACATTTTAATGCCTTCACACGAATGACTTGAGAAGATATTTTCTTATCAAGTCAAACAGTACTGACATGAACAGAAAGCATCTAGAACTGTCTTTAAAAAGTGAAAAGTCCTGTTTTAGGGAGATTAGCATTTAGGGGGGGGGCTGCTGTTGTGTTTTGTTTTGTTTTTTTTTGTTTTTTTTTAAACCTGACATGACCATGAAATTTTAGCTGGGCAGCTAAGTAGTGCTAATAGCTAGCATAATTTAAATCTGCATTTCATTGTGATACAAACTTGTGAAGCAAAAAACAGGCTGAACAACTATTGTTTTAAACTGAAAGCTAAACATGATGAAACGGCACCCATCTGTCACTTAAAACAACCGTGCCATTATCTTCCTTTAGTCTAGGGTTTAATTTAAGCGACTCTGTATAAATACTCAAACATCACACACTTGTCATAAGTGGAAATCAGCTATAAAGGGAAATCATTTTAAGTCTGGGCTTGCTTTTAGGACCAGTTTTGCCTTTTAGTTTTTCCAAATGTAAATTTCCACTGTAAGGAGAAAAGTTCCATAAGTTTTTTGTTTGTTTGTTTCAGACTTTTTTTGGGGGGGGGGAGAGAAATATTTGACTTCCTGATTTGTCCTCAGTAGCCATTTCAAGCTAAAGATAGTTGTTTATTAAAGCCAAACGTGATGACTTTCAGAGTATCCCATATTGTGGTTTATTGTTGCCAACAGCAATTATTATGTAATCACTGTGAGCATGGTTAACATTTTCTTTCTTTAAACAGTCTCTCATTTTGCTCAGAATCACACAGCAGTGGTCTGATACACAGCTAGTTCCCAGGCTCTCATATGCAGCCAGCTGCTGGCAGGAACTGGAGCAGAGAAGAATCTCCAAGTGCTCCTCTTTGTAGAGGTTTAAAGCCTCCGGGTCCTCGTGAACCTACAGTGCATAATCTCACATACTGAGACGTAGCTGGAATGCAGACGAGCTTTCAGACTAGTGGTCGCGTGGGCCTCCCCAGGCTTCATGTGTAGGAGCATATAGCCCTGGCACTGCTGCAGGGAAACTGTTGGTTTACATTAATCAGATTAGTGGCCATGAGTTTTCCAGTGGGGCTTATGAGGTCTGGACCTGCCTCTCTATCTCATCCCTCCCTCAGCTGCTCTTTCCCCTCCTCCTCACTAGTCTGACCCACTTCTCTAAAAACCAACAACCAGAATCTCCTTCTGTCTCTCTCTCTCTTCCCATCACCCACCTCTTTAGCAGGGACACATTAGATTCACAGGTCAATAGATTGTGTACTGGATGAGATGATTTTTCCATTTTTTGTCACTGATTGCTGTGCTTCTCAACAGAGGTGCTCTGTATAAAAAATTAAATAAACTAAGGAAAAACTAATGAGCAGTCTGGTCTAGGCTTAGAGATATCTAATCTTTCTTACTTTCTTGGGTTTTCATCAAAGTGTATAATGGTGTTTATGATTTTAAAAGAAACGAAGGCAAAAAAAAACAGCTGCTTTGTAACAGAAGTTATTGTAGCTAGGGATGTGATGAATTAGCTGGCAAGGCTACTAATCTTTGTGACCCGTGGGAAATGTTTTTTGTTACAGTTGTTATTATTAATACCACCAACACCAATTTGCTGTTGTTTTACCCAGCACAGAAAGAAGGGTCCCGGTGCTGGCACTGTTAGTGTTGTTTCCACTGGTATCTTATTTTTAATTTAACTGATAAGCAGATCATGAGCTGTGGACACCCTGAATTCTTCCATAGGCTTTTTCAGGTGGTTTTGACTGTTGTTCCTGCAGCACACGGTGTGACAGCCCCCTGCTTTCTAAAGGCAAATAGTTCACACACTTCCATGTTGGCCTTTTATCAGTGGGTTCAATTTGCAGTCACCTGTTTCACAGCTCACTGAGCTCAGCTAAATTTATATCAGGGTACTTAGAAATGGTGTTTATTTAACTGACAGGATTGAAGAAGTTATGGATGCAGGGGCGCAACCAATATTTTTAGTGGCCCCATATGGCCACCCCTATGAAAAAAATTATGGAGGAGTCCCTGTGTGGATGGCAGCACTTACGATAGAGTTATATAATAAAATAAAAAATCAACTTAACTATCACTCACTATTCATAGATTTATGTTAAATTACAAGTCTGAGGTGTGCTAAAAAGTGAAGCTTAAATGTACCAGCTGATAAAATTGAAAGATTAAATGTGTGTTTTAGTGCTTTCTGCCACTTTTTTTTGTGTTTGTTGTGCTTTGAATGTCAGTTGTAACCGCTGTGTGTCCAGTCCATGTATTTTTTCTTCTACCCCATCAGAATCAAGTGTTGTATTCATCACATCAGTTTAATATATAGTCACTCTGAAAGTTTACTTTATACATATATGATGGTAACGTCAAACTTTTGGTCCACCGCATTGGTCCACACTGAAATATTAGTTGGACAATATAACGGCTTGCTCTGAAATTCTTCAAACAATACACTACCTACCTACCTACCAACCTTACCCCTTAGCCACATGAAGCACAAAGAGGCCAGCAACAGATGGTCTGCCCTGATCTTGGCATCGTGAAGTCAGTCTGGGATTACTTGAAGAGACAGGGGAGACCAAGACGGACTAAATCCAAATAGGAAATCGAGCAAGTTCTTCAGTGCTGGTTTGTAGCTAGTTCTGACTTAGCGCCGTTTCAGAACCAGAATGGATTTCAAGCTGTTGAAATGAAAAACACTGAGAATGGACAATGTGATGCATCTGTGAATCATCTATGAATTTATTGCAGTAATGTAGTGATTCAAATGAAATACAGGACGCTTGAAACAACAGCAACTGGCACCCCTTCAAGCAACAATTCCAGCTGTATTTTGCAGCGGTAGTGTTACTGCTTGCAGTAGCAGCTCTCAAGCTTTTGAAGTATGCATCGCATTTGTATATGAGCCAGATGATAAAGAGAAGTTTTGACAAAAGTTATTTAAAAGTTGTAGTAAGAAAGAAAGGCATGTCGCAGAGATTCATTAAGAGATTAAACTCATTCTTGCTGGCACAAGTTAACCTTTTCCAGAAATGGGGACACATTTAAGAATTTTTTAAAAATTATTATTATTAGTAGGACCCTTTTTGTTCTTGTGGCACTTTTTCTCTTTTTCCCCTCCATTTTGTCAGTAATCAAAGATGAACCAGACCTGTTCTCTAAATAATGGATTGAAGGATAAAATGACTGATGTTTAAGAGTTGTGTGGTGAGACGGATGCCTTAGGACAGAAGCACAAGGAGAAGTTGAGGTGTAGATTTTTATTGCTGGTGTCATTTGATATGTGATTGATTTATTTGGCTGACTGCATCCATGTTTTGTTCACATGTGCACTTCTGCTTGGTTCATCATGCTTGACAAACCGGCCTAACATGCTTTATGAGTTTTGTTGCTGTGCTGTAGAAACCACATCAAAAAGTTCTTGTGTGTGATGTTGTGGTAAACCTATTTCTAGCTGCTCTGTGTTTTGAGTAGTTCAAAAACATCTGTCTTAAGTCACATTTGAAATTTGCTAAGCTTATCAAGAACAGTGTTCATCTTGCGGATGCATCTTATTGCTCGTCTGTCACATTTGTGACACTCATGTCTCTTGTGTTTCAGTCTTTAACAGCTTTGTGGCTCCCATCACTTTTGCTCTCTTTCAACAGTCCTGCTGTTCTGTGCAGGTCAGGCCTGACGGTCTGCTGCCCTGTTTCAGATCAAGGATTGGATTCCTTCAGGTGGTTAATGGAAAAACTAAACGAAAAACTGAGCCTGAGGCCACTCTGACAAAACATTCTTTCAGCTGCGATGGAAGACATCTTTCAAAACATTTCAATGAGGGAACAACTCGCCTGGATCTGCCCAGAAGTAATTATGCCCTATTATAAAGCAGAGCCAAATTGTATTCTTAGACTCTACCAGAGTAGCTTTGCATGATTTACTGTTCAAAATAATCCTTATTTAACTCGTACTGTGCCTTGGGAAAACACCAAAGTTTATTCGTTATCTGAAATAAACAGTTTTAGTATCTCTTTCTCTTTACCCTTAGTTTTGGGATTGGCTGCACCCTGTAAACAAAGGGTTTGACTGGCAGGTGGGTGGGGCTTATGTCCTCACTGCCAGAACTGTTTTTTTTTTTGTTGTTGTCTTTTTTTTACTTTGATAGCAATCCACGAGTTGAAAAGGGGATTATAGTGAACTTTTGGCTCATAGAAACTACACACACAAACCTCATAGCATGTTACTTGGTTAATGTTTAATATGGGTTTCCACTTTTGTAACAGTAATGGTGTGTGTGTGTGTGTGTGTGTGTGTGTGTGTGTGTGTGTGTGTGTGTGTGTGTGTGTGTGTGTGTGTGAGAAATCAAGAAATCTCAATTGGCCAATACAAAAAAAATCTGTCATCTGAGCAAGTTATCAGAAAG